ACTTCTTTCCCTTCTCTGAACAGCTGGATGGAAAGGTGTAAGGAATTTATTGGTATTCATTGAGTTCCTCTGATGTCCCAGGATTCTATTTGCACAGTACTTATTTTCTGATTGAGGGAAAGTGACTCAGAGTGGTTAAATGAATTGCCCAATATTGTACATCTATAAAACAGTGCTATCATATGAAGCAAGATCTAACTCTGAGGCAGATTGATTACAAAAACATCTGGGATTCTGTCCATCTCTGTTGCCATACCTTTTGCGATATGAATTTGTAGCTCCTTCCATCAAGAAGTGGGGTCTGTTTCCTCACTTCTTAAATCAGGGATAGTCTAGTGATTATTTTAGCCAGTGGGGAGAAAAGTAATTGTGGGCCAATTCTGAGTCTAGACCTTAAGGGGCCATGCCCCATCTGGCTCTGTCTTAGAACCCTACCTCACCATGAGAACAAGCTTGGGGTAGCCTTCTGGAAGATGAGAGAACACATGGGGTGGAGCTCAGACAGCACAGTCACCCCCGTCAAGATCCCAGATATCAGGAATGCCAAACCAAGTCAACAAATCTGGCTACTATCCCCATAGTTGACTTCAGGTGCTTGAATGAGCCCACCAAGACCAACTCAGATTGGCAGAACAGAGAGCCAACCTACACACACATGCACAAAAATAAAGGTTTGCTGTTGTAGTCATTGAGTTGTTGTGGTTGTTTGTCATGTGGCATTATTTAAACAAGAGGTAACTAATATAAATTCTCAATACCTTCAGATCTTATATGTACCTTATAATGGTATATTTTTAAAAAGCTGTTGCAAACACGTCTATCAAAAGTCTTTTTTCAGCCCTGGCCGGTTTGGCTCAGCGGTTAGAGCATCGGCCTGCAGTCCAGAGACCCGGGTTTGGTTCCAGCTAAGGGCATGTACCTCGGTTGCAGTTTGTCCCCGGCCCTGATTAGGTAGTGTGGGTGGCAACCACTTGATGTGTCCCTTTCACGTCGGTGTTTCTCTCTCTCTCTCTTCCTCTCCCTCCCACTCTATCTGAACAAAAAATGGAAAAATATCCTCAGGTGAGGATAAAAAAAAAGTCTTTTTCACCCCAGTTTTTATAATGGGCAGGACCATGTCCTTTTCAATTTCTCAAGAGGAAAAAAATAACATGCTGTGAACAAGATATTAGAAGAGAAAAGAAATTATTTGTGTTTAATGGGCTAATTTAATGAACAACTAAATTGCATACTGAGTTATGTTACAAGTCTCTCCTTCATTTCTATCATCAGACAAATTCAATGCAAACACATCAACCAGTATTTTTGAGTATCTTGTCTCTATAGGCATAATGCTACAGTACAATGGTGTTTTAAGACAGAGTTCCTGTCTCCAAGAAATTTATATTCTAATTGAAATGTAAGTAGCTATTCTGCCCGGCTGGTGTGGTTCAGTTGTTGAGCATCAACCCAAGCACCAAGAGGCAGATAGTTCGATTCCTGGTCGGGGCACATGCCCAGGTTGTGGGTCAAATCCCCAGTGAGGGGCATGCAGGAGGTGGCCAATCAGATGTTCTCTCTCATCGATGTTTCTATCTCTCTCTCACTCTTCCTTTCTCTCTCTCTAAAAATCAATAAAGAAAAAGTTTTTTTAATGTATTAAAAATAATAAATAAATAGAAGTATAAGTAGTTATGCAAGTGAGAGAAGTTGAATAACAGTAAAATATTTCAAGAATACCTTCACCACAACCTATGTTTCAAAACAGAAATATGCATGGTCATTTTTATAAAGGAAATTAATTTAACACTTGCTAGGAGAATACAGAGGAAAAGTAAAATGCTTGGGAGAAAAGCTGCCAGCTGCCAGCTGACTTTCTAGGTGGAGCTGGAACTCCTTCGTAGAGCATTTCAATGAGTAGATAGGAATGCTCCCTTGATAGGTAAAGCTACAGGTAATAATATTAGCAGTGAGAAAGTGCAAGTTGTATTTGGCAGTGAGTAAATAAGTCAGTTTAATAAGAACAGAGAAAATCAATAGGACAAAGTGACTGATTAGATATGGAGTAGAAGAGACATGAGAAGCATGTGTGACTCCAGCCAGGAGGATGGTGATCATTAACAGACAAAAAGGTTAAGAGGTAGCAGCTGGTGAACTCTTCCATATTAGATACATGGAGCCCGAGGTGGGAGTGAAATACCCAGCAGGCTGTTAGACATTCAGGCGGAGGCCAAGGAGAAAGGTCGGAGTTAGAGATATGGCTTGAAAATCTTCAGTACAAGAGAGCTGAGATGAAACCAAAGCAGACGGGTGAACTGGACCTCGGGGAATGCCCCTAATGTCTAGTAAGAGATAAGAAAGATGCACAGCTGACTGCTAAGCAGCATGTACCAAGTGCCACATTAGTCACATTAGTGTGATAACCATTCAGAGAAGGGAGAGGTGTATACCAGCAGAGCGGAAACATTCTCTTTCAAGAGAAAATTGACGATAATGAGCAGGACAAGCTCACAGCAGGACCAGAAGGCTTCTTTAAGTCATTTGAAGGGATGCATGGTTCTGGCTGGACAGAAACACAGTGGGACTGATTAAATGTATTGGCAAAAAAAAAAATCAACCAGTTTTTTGGGGGGTTGATTTACTCTTTTTGACTCTCAGTAATCAAGCCATTAAGATCAATACAAAGTTTCTGTTTCCTTTATTCATTCTGATAAATTCAGAAAGTGCAAATTGAAGAAAATATCTTAAGAGGATAAAGCATCAAATACATAAAGCATCAAGGTACATGGACCATGGCCAGATCCCCTCTTACTGTCTATGCTATAAGTACATCTTAAGTGCTATACAAATTACATGTATAGGGTACTCTTGTTTCTGCTTCTTTCAGCAGAAACACATATTTACACACACATTAATTAGTTCTTATGGTAACAGATGATGCCATCATAACATCATTAAGAAAGTGCAGTTCATCCCAACCACTGGAAGAACCACTCAAAGACTTTCCAGCAATATAAAAAATAGCCATCAGCTGGTTATATTCTGTTTCAATATAGTGTGAAGAACAGAAAAGCATAGTTTTTTTTAAAGCTACCTTGCTTTTATTATTGATTTTGAGAGAGAGAGAGGAATAGAGAGAGAAAGAGAAACATTGATGTGAGAGAGAAACCATTGATTGGTTGCCTCCCTCAGGCACCCTGACCCAGGGATCCAACCCGAAAACGTTTGGTGTACAGGACAATGCTCCAACCAACTGAGCCACCCGACCAGGGCTACCTTGCTTTTTATTTTAAAAAATTTTAAGTTTATTAAAGATGCCACACGTCTTTAGTCACCAGAGACATCCCTATTAAACATTCTGGTCTATATCTGCTCCAATTGCTGTACTCCAGGAACACTATGCGTAGCAACTGGTATTTCAACTAGCTTTTCAAGTGGTTCAGCACCCTAAAAAACTGAGATACATATTCTCAGGAGACACAGGGCAGTTGGAAAGGGGGAAGGCTCCTCAGTGAACAAGACCCAGTCCTTCCTTTTTTCTTTCCTCCCTCTTTAATTAGAGAAGCTCTGCTTTATGGTCTTATGACATTGGGCTTTCGTCCTTTCCACTCATCAAGTCAGAAATCTGAGAGGCATGCCTTTCCTCCCACATCAATGCACCAGCAAGCCCTGTCAATCATCTTGTCAAAATACATATATCTCAAAAGCTGCCTCCCTGATTTCCAGCTGCACCGCCCATCCTAATCCAGTCTGCCATCTTCTCTTGCCTACCCCAGCAAAGCCTTAAAGCCATCTCCTAGTTTCTGCTCTTAGCTTCCTCCAGTCCATTCTCATCGGAACACCAAGAATATTTTTTTTTCAAAACTTAGATTAGATCACATCGCCTCACAATTTAAAACTTTTCTATGGTTCTCAAAGCACTAAAACAAAATCTGACTCCTCTGACCATGGATCCTAAGTGTGTCACACCCGTACCTGTCTCTATATGAGTTTCTGCCACATGCCCCAAGTCTCAATATCATTCTAGCCACACCAGTTTTTTTGTTGTTGTTGTTTGTTGTTGTTGTTGTTGTTTTCCCTTAGCACCAAGCCAAGGAGGCAAAGGACTTTGCATTTGCTCTTCTTTTTGCAAAGACCTCAGCTTAGATGTCACTTCCCAGGGTCTTTCAAGACCATTCTATTTAAACTCAATTTCCCTCTCTCCATATTTCTTTATCTTAGGACTTTTTGTTTCCTTCATGACACTTACTGCAACTTGAAATTTTTGTTTGCTTTCTTTTTGTTTGGCTCTAAACTAAAAGCTCGGTGAGCGAAGGAACCGTGTCCATGGTGTTCCGTCGAGTCTCGGGTACCTCGCCCGGGGCCTGTGCCTTAGGAACTAACTCCACTGTTGGATAAATGGATGACATAACCCAACGTTATCCAGGTGTGGAAGGCCCTGATACAGACAAGTTAGAAACTTCCATTTGGGGTGGGGTGAGAGTGAGCGCGTCCTAAAATTAAATTCCATGCCACAGTTATATCCGTGACTGGTGACCTAAAATTCCCAAGCCCATTCTCTCCCAACCCAGTGGAGCTCATGGTTGCTGGGAAAGTCTATAAAGTCAGCAGGTTGTTTTCCCCTTTCGAAGAGGAATTCATTCGTGTTCATCTGTAGGTACCACGATGTCACAGTAAGAAATGAGAGCTCGAGCTCTTTGGGGGGGAGAATGCCAGGTGATTACACAACAACCATTAATACGGACCACGGCCCCGCCTCCGCGGCCTCCACTCCCCGCCCTCCCGACCTGGAGCGAAACCAACGAGAGGACACCGCCTGCGCCTAGAGCAGCCCGACCCGGGCGAGCCGAGGGGCGCGCGAACGGAGGGGAAACCGTGCGCTGCGCGTTCCCACCCGAGTCTTTCTAGACGCGGAGCTGTGTCTATTGAGCAAGTGCTGTGAGCGACGACGACGCGGGAAAACCGTCCTTCCTCTTTCCCCACCCCCACCCCCACCAAGGAAGCACACCTGCCAAGGCAAGATGTCTGAAAGCAGTTCATTTTTGAAGGGTGTAATTCTGGGAAGCATTTTCTGGGCCTTGATCAAAATGCTAGGACACGTTAGGATGGGCTATGGAAACAGAATGTACCACCATGATCATCACCACCTACGAGCTCCTAATAAAGAAGAGACCTTGAAATGGTCAGAGAGTGAGCAACGCGTGGAGCTCAGTCAGAGCGTCCGGGTGTACTGTATCATCCTCGTGAAACCCAAAGATGTGAGTCTGTGGGCTGCACTGAGGGAGACTTGGACCAAACACTGTGACAAAGCAGAGTTCTTCAGTTCTGAACGTGTTAAAGTGTTTGAGTCAGTTAACATGGACACAGATGACCCATGGTTAATGATGAGAAAAGCTTACAAATACGCCCTTGATGAATATGGAGACCATTACAACTGGTTCTTCCTTGCGCACCTCACCACGTTTGCTATTATTGAAAACTTAAAGTATTTTTTGTTAAAAAAGGACCCATCACAACCTTTCTATCTAGGCCACACGGTAAAATCTGGAGACCTTGATTATGTGGATGTGGAAGGAGGAATTGTCTTAAGTATCGAATCAATGAAAAGACTTAGCCTGAAAAAAGTCTCTGAAATGTGTCCTGAGCAGGGAGGCATGATTTGGACGCTTTCTGAAGATAAGCAGCTAGCAGACTGCCTGAGATATGCTGGAGTGTTTGCCGAAAATGCAGAAGATTCTGAAGGAAAAGATGTATTTAATACCAAACCTCTTAGGCTCTTTATTGAAGAGGCAATGACTAATCAGCCCACCCTGGTAGTAGAAGGATGTTGTTCAGATATGGCTGTTACTTTTAATGGACTGACTGCTAATGAGATGCATGTGATGATGTATGGGGTATACCGTCTTAGGGCATTTGGGCATATTTTCACTGATGCTTTGGTTTTCTTACCTCCAAATGGTTCTGACAGTGACTGAGAAGTGAAACAAGAGCATGTATGCGTTCACCATATACGGCATGTATTGTCATTATTTGTAGGAACAACTATATATCCAACACAGAAGTATGTTTCTTTCTTTCTTTTTCTTTTTTTCCTTCTCTTTTTCATTTTGATGACACTGGTTTAATCACACATTAAAATTTAGTAGTACATTTTTAAAAAATGTATTTGTGCTAATAGATGTTTCTCCTTTTTTCCCCATTGACACCCTAGTAGTATATTTTAAAATAAGGTGGGGTTTTTTTTTTCCTTAAAAGGTGTATGAGCATTTTAAACATGTTGGAAATAAATGTTTTAAGAACAATTTTGCACATAAAGCATATATTTATAAATATACTTATGTGATAAATTGTAAATTGTAAACATTAAAATCTGCAGCACGTATTTTTGTTGATCGGTTAAAAAACTTAACACGTCTTTTTAGCTTTCTAAGATACGCAAATGGACCTCTAGTTGTGAATTTGTGATTAAAGTAAAACTTTTAGCTGTGTTTCCATTACTTCTAATGTTGGTTTGTGTTCTAAGCCTCTGCAAATGCCAGTGATTTTGCTTTCTCAAAATACACAACCAAGCGACAAAAGAAATGTTCCCAAACCATGTAAAAGTGGAAGTTGACATCTATCCTTAAGAGAAAAAGTGACAGTTACAGAGTTTAATAATTGTCCTGGGAGCTAATCTAGTGGCATTCCTCACATACACAATTTCAATGCAATTATCGGTACTTCTCTATGCAGACACTGAAATTGGAGTGGTGACTATGAAGAATGTAAGGTCATTTAACTGTGTTGTTTCCCAGTTAATCAAGCGCTAAGCTGTGGCTCAGATAAAACTATATTAGTTGAAATTTATTTACTTTTGCTGGGCAAATGAGTTCTGTGGAAGTCTCCCTCGAAAAACTTCTTTTGGCAGTCTGGCAATTTCACTTACCTGAGTCCAGTCTTTTCTAGTTTTGTTTACCTGTTCAAATTCTGAAAATGCCCCCAAGTTCATGGTTGCACCATCTTTCAGCTGTTTTTGGTGTGGAAGCCTTAACCTCACCATTCACCTTGGATTACCATTGGCCTAATTTCAGTGGCTACCCAGAAGCTTTATCCAGTGGTGAATACAATAGCTCCTGTGCCTATAAATGTGTAAAATACTTGGAGCAGACTTGTCCTGTAATTGAGCCTGCACATGCTGTATTAAATCAGATAAGACCCCATAGGGTGAGAGACTGTGAAATTTTAGCGATCAGTGTTTCCTGTAACTGGGCTCATGATGTTAACGGTCTCCCGAAAACCAGAAAGAAAATTTCCTCAAGAGGACCTTGGGCTTCAAATTACTGATCAACAAAGTAGTGTGTAAAAGCCTTTGTTTTAATTTATCTGATTTTCCTTATTGGGGCTTTTAGTTAAAATGACAGGTTATTTTAAAAAAATAAATAATAAAATAATAAAATCCCTTTATCAACCACCCTGATATGTGGTCTCAGATGCACTTACTACAGATCAAATCATGTTCACTGTGAGTCCAATGATAAACAGGATCTTGCCCGACCAGTGTGGCTCAGTGGTTGAGCATCAACCCATGCACCAAGAGGTCACTGGTTCAATTCCCAGTCAGAACACTTGCCCAGGTTGTGGGCCAAATCCCCAGTGGGGAGCATGCAGAAGGCAGCCAGTCGATGTTCTCTCTCATTGATGTTTCTACCTCTGTCTTCCTCTTCCTTCCTCTCTCTAAAATCAATAAAGAAAAAAATTTTTAACAGTATTCTCACTGATTGTAACACCCAGTTTATGTGTCACCTTGCCCCCAATACCAATATATTAAATTTCTACTATGTTTGTCACCCTCAGTTACTTTAGTGTATCAAGGTATAATTGTATATCAATGAATGCATTCCATTGTTTGATTTCCTAATGGGTGCTAAGGTAACAATTGCTTTTAAAACAAATTGATACTCTTGATTATATTTTTATACATAAGTATTTCTTTATAAAATATTGGTTGTCTTAAATTCAAAAATACTTATGATTATATTAAAAGCATATTAATTTCATATAATCTCATTGTGACAATATAGGCTTTTGGCCGAGAACATTATGACAGTCTCTTCTGGAGAAGGCTGGGGCAGTGTTACTGAATTAGATTTGGCTGCTTGCCAGCTATGGCACAACATTGGATTTCCCATCACTAAGGGAAGTGGATGTGTGAGAGGAGGGAACTGTACCATCTTCGAAGGGGGTGGATGATATGAACCAGATGGTCCTTCTCATTGCTTCTGATCCTTCAGTTTCAGTGAAGCCAATTCAGTCCAATGAAACAAACAGATATTCAGGGCTTTCTGAGTGCCAGGAACCGAGCTAGGATGCCAGTGAACAATATAGACACTCACTCTATTGTAACAGAATCTGGAGATGGTAAATGGGAGGAAAAGAAGACTTAACAAAATCAGGTAGTGACATCAGCCATGGCCCTCCTCTCGTAATGTCGGTTTGACACAAGAATTAACCACATGTGATCAACAGTCAAAAAAATAGCACTTTCTCCACTGGTGCCAAAATATTTTTAGTCCTTGGTTCCATGAAATGACCACTGGATATGTTTGAAATGACCCCCGAATTTGAAGCCTGAACTGCCTTCACTTGAACGTTCCTTCATTCCCTCATTCATCTGAGCTCCATCACCGCACCCACATGTTGATTGTGTTTTCCTGTGTGATACTGAGTCATTTTTCTATATATGTTTTTATTGATTTCTTTAGAGAGAGAGGAAGGGAGAGAGAGAGAAATATTGATGTGAGAGAGAAACGTCAATCAATTTACTGAGCCACACCAGCTAGGCTGAGTCAGTTTTTTCTTAATTTAATAGTACAATTCATACGTACTTCTCTTGTTTAAATTTATGGACTAGAAGAATGTCTGACTTGCTCCAAATTTCTTGAGATGTTATCTTGCAGTTGTTTTCCAAAATGCAGTTGTGTCCATAGTTGCTCACATTTTACAGCACAGTCACGATGCCTGATTGTAACCCATGGCAACTGGCATGGTGCGCCTTTTGTTTCCTGACTGGTCCCTCTGCAATAATCATTCGTTACATCAGGGACTACATTCATTATTGGCATAAATTGCACTCTTTTGAACTGTCTCAGCACCAACATTGCCAAGTAGCGTGGCTCATTTCAAGCCTACTTGAGAAGTTGACAGTGGTTGCCTAACGAGTGGTCAGACATTTTCTCCACTTTTTTCAGCTATTTTATGATTTGATGGAGAGAATATAGTTTATGGTAATGTGGGCAAGTTATTAACTTCTCTGAGTCTGTTATTTAGTCCATAAAATTAGAGGATTAGATTAGGTTAGAGGTTAAGCTACTGAACAATGAGGCAAAATTAGCTCTCAGATGAGCTTGGATTGGCTCTCATAGCATTTTAAAAGTTCTCATTCACTGGCAACCTTCTAAAATTAGGAGGCTTTCCACAAAACTCCAGGTTTCTAGCTGCTCTTGAAAAATTCAAAATCTAAATTCCCTTGAAAAATCTGGCCTCAGATTCACAAATGACAAGGGAAGGAGGTATGACTAGCCGATCCTGATCTCATTTCTCTTCTGATAGCTCCTGGAGATGGTTATGCCCTGTGCCCTGTTCCTAGTGAAATCCAGCAAGAGACTTAGAAGAACCAGATTTAGAAAAGGAAGCTCTCTTGATGGCCTAGAAAATTCTTTGAGGAAAGAGAAACAGCGGCCTCACTTCTATCCTGGCCTTTGGTCATGGTTCATGTTGTGGTCTCGCACTGTTTAATATTCATCATGGTTGGAACAGGTTTGTTTGGTATTTTGTTTGGTTTTGTTTTTCTGGTGCCCTGTTCCTGGAAGTACTGCAATACCAGGTCGACGCGCGGAGTGGACCCAGCAAGTTCCTATTCCATCTTCCTGCTCTGAGAATCCAATTAATATCATGTCCTCGGATAGAGGACGCAGCAGACACGAAACTGTTAAGAACAGATATTAACTACCTTTGATCCTGGCCGAAAGGCCCAGAAACGATGAACAGGTTGGCTTCTTAAAAATAATTGGGAGGGGTGAAGTGGAGAGCAAGGTCGTTTATCCAGCCGCTTCGCCCTCTCGGTTCTCCAAACCCACTTTTCTTAGAGCAGTTCTTTCCATTTGGGGACGTAGGTGAAGGTTTGTTTGTATTGAGGACAGTGGGCTGTATTTGGGGTTGTAAAAAAGAAGAGAAGAAAATTCTACCTGAGCCCATTGGAAGTCAGTAGTCTTTTTTTTTTATCCTCACCCGAGGACATTTTTCCATTTTTTTGTTCAGATAGAGCGGGAGGGAGAGAGAGGAAGAGAGAGAGAGAGGAACATCGATGTGAAGGGACACATCGAGTGGCTGCTACCCGCACGACCAACCAGGGCCGGGGACAAACTGCAACCGAGGTAGGTGCCTTTAGCGGGAACCGAACCCGGGTCTCTCTGTACCGCAGGCCGACGCTCTAACCGCTGAGCCAAACCGGCCAGGGCAGTAGTCTTTTAATTAGACACCTGCGCTCTTCACTTAAAGGCAGTCCCCACCTGGCCCCGTCTTATTAATTTGTATTATCTGTCTGGCCCTGTGGGTCACCTGAGTGTTCACTAGATAATCTCTAAGTCCTCCTCCAACTTAATAAATCTAAACATTTCTAAAATATTTCCACATTGCTGAGTCTCCACAAGCAGGCGTTCCCTTCCTCTCGTGACAGGATGTCACCAGTCTAAACACAAAGATACAACCTTTGTGCTCCAGTTAAATCCCCAGCAACCATAAAAATTCCTAGCACCTAAAAAGCGCTCAGTAAATATTTGTGGAATGAAGTACCCAGGGTTAGCAGTGATCTTTGGAAAGGGTCCATGATGATGAACAGAATAAATGAGTATTTAAGAGGGCAAAGACTCACCTAATTGCAATAGCATTATATTTTATGTTACCCAACAGAGAAGGATAGCCAGTTTAAAATGTTTCAGATTAAATATTTTGTTGTTTAACACGCCCTGGGTACAAATACAATCAGGCTTTTATAGTTTATTTTTATTTTTACTGAAGGATAGCTATATATTATGGGCAGTAATGAGACAAAAACAGTAAGCCTGAGTCTTAAAGGAATAGTTTGCTTCTTTGAGATTAGGCTTAAAAAGTGCACTTTTCTGAAAATCAAGTTTCTGAATGGAGCCAGGGTGGGGATAGGTAACAGAACACTAGCCCCTTGTGATTACTGTTGGGACTACACCACCTCTCTTAGCGGTCAGCCCTTGAGAGTTAACCCACACAAACACTCTCCAGGCACCTTGTGAGACGCTAGGGGGCACCACTGAGCAAAACATACACAGCTCTTGAGATCTGGTGAGTCATCTATGATAAAATCATTCAAATACATATTGAATTTCAAACTGCAGTAACTGTTTTGAGGCAAGGATATGGTGCTTTGAGATTGATTCAGCTATATTCTCTGCCTCTCGAGATAATTAGCGTAACATACATTAATTTATTGAGAATCTTATATGCCCAGGCTATAAGTATACTACGTACTTCTCATGCATTATTTCATTTAATCCTTTCAAACACTATAGGTAGATAATGTGTAGATAAATAATTTACACAAGATCACACAGCTAGAAAGTGGTCGGACTAAAATTTTTAACTCCCATATTCCTTACTAACTTAAAAAAAAAAGAAGAAGAAAGGTAAGCAACCCACGACACTATAATAATGTTTTTTAAATATGAGAAATATGTGAACTCTTTTTAAAGTTCTCACAAATTTCCCCATCACTATATCCAGGGTCATCTTGTGAATGTCAAGGGGGCAGCATGGTAGACCTGACAAGTTCAGAAAGCCACACAGTGGGCCTGACAAGCTAAGCGACCAAAATTAACCTTACAGGATGGTCTGGTCATAAATTCCTAACTGGGAAGGTCATGATGGGTAATCATGTCCCAGGCTTATAGCTTCCTTAGCAAAGGTCAATCTCTGTCATAAGTGAGCCCTGTGCATGGTTAACACACCTTTGAAATGTCAAAGTAATTTTTGTTTCCGGACCCTTTGGTGGCACAACCTTCAGCACAATGCACAAGACCATGAAATCACCGCTGGCTGGTGTGGCTTAGTGGTTGAGCGTCAACCCATGCACCAAGAGGTTGCTGGTTCGTTTCCCAATCAGGGCGCATACCCAGGTGGCGGGCCAAATCCCCACTAGGGGGCATGCAGGAGGCGGCCAATCGATATTCTCTCTCATCAATGTTTCTCTCTCTCCCCCCCTTCCTCTCTCTCTTAAATCAATAAAGAAAAAAATGTTTAAAAGGAAAGAGATCATGAAACCCCTCACTGTTCTCTTGTGAATGTTAAGTGCTGACTCTCCTCTACCCACCATCATAACAGAAACATGGATCTCTCCATTTTACCCAACCCTAGAGATGACCCCACTTTGCTTTCTCCTGCCTCCCTAACCCACCACCAATGGATGTCATGTAATCTTCTTTACAGCCTCTTGTTTGATTTATAAAAAGAAATGCGAAACTGCTATTCTCAGAAATATTTTCTCAGTCCCTGGAAATCTTGCTTCCAAGCATGTCCTCAGATTTGGCTCGCATAAACACTATAAACTGTTAACATTTTTCTATAGAGTTGGGTGTTCTTTTGTTGACAGACTTAAATTATTTAGATTATAATGCTTGCTGCTTTCATTCACAGAAAACGGTTAAGTATGAACTTTGAATGTCAATAGCTCTTACATGATTATAAAACAGAAGCAGTACAGTGGCAGAGACAAACAATACATAACTGGTAAAATATATAAGGCGTCAGCTGGTGATAAGCGCTGTGCAGAGAAACACACAGGGAGAAGGGTTCCCCAGGTGGTCAGGGGAGTAGTGTTTGTGCAGAACTGTGAGGGAGGTAAGGGAGCATGCCCGTAGCTATTGACAGAGAGAACATCCCAAATGAGCCTGGGCAAAGAAAAAGACCCCGATTTGGGAGTGTGCTTGGTATGCAGTATTGGAGGGCAAGCCAGGAGGCCAGCGGGATTGGAGCAGAGTGAACCAGAAAGAAGTGTAGGAAATGAGGCGGGTCAGCATAAAGGCTAACTGTATGTCAGACCATGGGGTCCTCTGAAACTGCCTGTGGGCTTGATTTCCTACACTGCCCGACACAGTTACTCTCTTTGTCCTGATCCATTTAAGATAGGTCTCCAAATAGACTGTGTTTGCCTTCTTTGCCTGTCTGAGCTGACTCCTCTTCACACTTCAAGTCAAGTTTAATCACGGCCTTCTTCGGAAAACCTCTCCCTGCTCTAGCGTTGGGCACACCCTCAGAAAACTCGGACACCTGTGCGAAATTCCACCCCAGTGCTTACCGCTGCATTCCAGCAGGTGACATACTCCTTCCCAGTGCAAAACCAGCATCTTGAGGGCAAGAAGTTTTGTTTTGTTTTTCTTTCAATACCTCACAAAATTTTTTTTCCTTTATTGATTTTAGAGAGAGAGGAAGGGAGAGGAAGAGAGAGATAAAAACATCGATGAGACAGAACATCGATTGGCCGCCTTCTGGGGATTGGGCCCACAACCTGGGCATGTGTCCTGACCAAGAATCGAACTGGTGACCTCTTGGTGCATGGGTCGATGCTCAACCACTGAGCCACACTGGCTGGGCTTTCTCTCAATATCTTCAATGTGTAAATATCTGCATGATCATAATAGATATTTAAGACAGATAATGTTTGTTGAGTGAATAAATAACACTGGTAATAGCTCATAATAATGCCAATTTGGATTGTAGTACCTGCTCAGCATGTTGGTGAATGTACTTGCGATCTATCAGTCATGAAGGGTCACTAAGTACCAGACACTGAACCCAGTTAGGCTTATCATCATTGTCATTATTATCTTCCGATAACCCTACAAATTAGATATCATCTTCCCATCTTTAAATGTAAAAGAGATCAAAGTGGCCCTGGCCAGTTTGACTCAGAGGTTAGAGCATCGGCCTGCGGTCCGGAGAGACCTGGGTTTGGTTCCCGCTAAGGGCATGTACCTCGGTTGCAGTTTGTCCCCGGCCCTGCTTGGCAGCTACTCGATGTGTCCCTTTCACATGAATGTTTCTCTCTCTCTCTCTCTCTCCCTCCCACTCAATCTGAACAAAAAAATGGAAGAATGTCCTCAGGTGAGGATTAAAAAAAAGAGAGAGAGATCAAAGTGGACAGGTTGAATAACTTACATTTTACTACCCACAGCCAGGATTTAATCCAGATATATCTAAATCCAAAACTACACCAAGCTGTAAATTGGACATGTGTAAATAAGGAACTGCTTTTGGTATAATTTTCCAAATTCTTCAGTGAATAACTATTATCTGTAAGAGATTTATAGAAAACCTTTCTATATGGTATTCACATTGCTTGACATCACTGTGGTTTCTAAGGAAGAAAGATTGACATTCACCTGTCAGTCATTCAGTCACAGGGAAGAGGTAGGCTGAACTTGAAACAAGGAATTTGTGGGGAGCATCTGGAACTGAAGTAAAATGATGGGGAGGAAACGAAGATCGCGGATCCTACAGAAATGTCTGCTCTGCAGGGAACATCTATAAACCCTGGCCGTTCTGTAGTTGAGTGTTATCCTCATTTCTTCATACATCATATAAACTATGCACATGGAAAACAAGCCCAAAGGGTATAAAACAAAGTGTTGAGGCTTTTTCTAAGTTATGGAAGTTTTTGTGTGTTTTTTTCCCCCCTGTGATCTGCATTTACTGAAGTCTCCACAACTGAAAAGAAAATGATGATGAAACTGAAGAAAAAACGAATCCAGTTAAGAAATGGGCGACAGACCTGAACAGACACCTCATGAAAGAAGGTATACAAATGGCAAATAAGCATTAGAAAAGATGGTCGGCATCCATATCATCGAGGAACTGCACGTTAAAAGAGCAGTGAGCTACCACCACACAGCGACCAGAATGGCTGAAATCCGAGCGCTGGCACCACACGCTGGCCAGGCTGTGGAGCAACAAGAAGT